CAGTTTCCAGCGTGAATCATGTTGCCTTCTCTTCTGGAAACCTTTCATGCATCTCTTCCTAAAGACCCCACACTGAATGTGGCATTCCTGTGCATTTGTTTACCATTTCCACATCCCACAAAACTCTCTTCCAAAGAATTTGGGTTTGCCCCATGATAGAAACAAATAGGCCAGGCGTGGCGGCTCACACCCGTAATCCCAGCACTTTGGGAAGCAGAGGCAGGCAGATCACTTGAGGTCAGGAGTTCGAGATCAGCCTGGCCAACATGGTGAAGCCCCATCGCTACTAAAAATACAAAAATTAGCCACGGTCAGGATACCGCGGCCATTGAACATATGTCACAGGGCAGGCAGTGCCTCTAATTGGGAAAAAACAAACTATGACCTTAAATAGATGAACTATTCAATAGATTGGTTTTTTAAAATCTATTTTAGTATTTCCAAGTGCAAGCGCCTTTATTGCTCACCAGACAATGAAGCACACAGCTTAACACAGGAGGAACTACCTGCTGGAGGTTTTGGGGTTTTTGGTTATGATGTTATCAGTTAGGAATGTTTTCAGCTGCAAATAATAGAAAACCTAAGTGTGGTGAAACAAATAGGGGTTCACTTCTCTTACATGACAAGAAGGGTGGCTGTGGATGCTGATTTAGCAGCTCAGTGAGCTTGGAGCCAGCCTTTCCCTGATTCTCTTTGCTTTTCTCTCATGATTACAAGAAGGCTACCTGAATTCCTGGCATCACATCTTTATTCAAGGCAGGAAGCCAGGGGAAAGGGGCTTTTTATCCAGAAAGCCAAAGCTTTTTCTGAAGTCCTTCTGTCAGCTTTCATCTCGGTGACCAGAGCTGTGTCCCATGGCCTGGAAGGCAGAGAAAAGAGCACTTGGCTTTTCCAGATGCTTTAGTGAAGGCAGGCAAGGGAAGGAGGAGGGAACTGGGATTGGAAGAGCTAATCCACAGCGAAGGCTGTGGCTCCTTAAATCTTCATTTGTTTACACCAGGCAGTGTAGTATTTTTCAAACTGGAGAACTGTGACCTACTAGGAGGTTGTGAAATCAGCTTCGTGGGTCTCTGACCAGCATTCTTTTAAAGTAAAATAAAATAGAAAACATTGATGCTCAACTAAAGAGTGAAAGTCAGGACTGTTTGTGACACAGCTGTGTTAGTTTTGTATCTAATGACCTACATGTGAGTCTCAGTCAAAAAGATAGGGAAGCCGTTGCCACAGGGGGGTGATGTGCAGAGGGAGTTGGGCGTGGGCTCGGGGGTCAGACGGCCTGGGGCACTTGGCCTCTTTGGCTATTTATGGCACACATTTGGGCAAGTTACAATCATCCTTTTAGGTCTATTTCTTCTATTGTAAAAGAGAGAAAATAATATACCCACCTTGTTATATGTAAAATACGGGCTAGCACACAGTTTAGGTCCCAGTAATTACCCCAGAAAATGCTGTTGGTATTGGTATCTACTGATAACCAATCGCTGCCAGACCCCGCTTTCATGACCCAATTAGGTTCACTTAAAAGTAGCAACACACTCACATGTAAACCAGAAATGTTAAAATCTCCTCCCCCACAAAAAGTTGACTTTGGCACAGTGCCATCCACCGAATCCTATGGGATGCTATTAGAGAAAATCCTAGGAAACCTATTAATTTCTCTGCAGGGGGGCTAACATTGAGGGTGCAGCTTGTGAGTGATCGGCAAGGGGCCAGGAGACCCGTGGAAGAAACTTCTCTCTGGCCTGGGTCCCAGGAATTGCTGGGCTTCTTCCGGAAAACTCACTTCCTTTCATCTTTGGGACTGAGCAAATGATGGAGTTGATCCTGTTTCCCTGCTTGCTTTGGCCCTATTAGGAGTTCCTCTCTAGCAGAGAGCACAGGACTTGTGCCAGGGAGAATATTATGGATGCCTAGCTTTTTTCTACAACCTTTTTCTAAGTCCCCTCTGCCTCAACGATTTCCTCCCGTACTTTTTGTGTCTGCGTTTTTATCACAATGGGCTCCTCCCCTGGCCTTGGGCTCCCTTCCCCCAGGGGTAAAGCAGCACTTGAGCATCCCCTCTGTGTGCAGAGGTGACACCACCTCTGCCATTACCAGCCCCACGAAGGGACTTCCATCCAGCAGCCCCACTGGGTGGGAGCGCCCATTTCTACTGCCCGCATGACTGTCTGTGCAGTTTAGGAATGCCGGGGCTGGCAGTTAGGCTGGGTACACTGTGCGGGGGACACGCCGCCCTGCTCCCTGTGCCTGGCATCTAGAACTGAACACTCTACCGCTATGGGAATGGAACCCAGGGCACGACCATCTCAGCCTGCGGAACGATCCAGCCCAGCTGGTGAGAACTCCCGCCCTGGTGTTGGGGGCCAGACAGGGTGCGTGGAGAGGGTCCTTATAACCTGGTCAGTCCCCTAGCCAGAGCAGTCCTACACATCGCTGAGCCCTCTTCAGGTTGAGAATGCTCGCCCTCAGCACAGCCCTACCCTCTGCCCCTGCCCCTGCCCCTGCCCCTTCCCCTACCCAGGGAGGGCCGTCCTGGGGGTCCCAGGACAGGCATGGACCAGGACTAGGGTTACCAGCACTGACCTGCCCAGCCTGCCCCCCAGCCCCAGCAAGGGGCTGCAGACCCACAGGCTGGCTCCAGGGCTGCCACCCCTCCATGCACAGCCCACGCCCGCTGGGCTCTACAGGATCCTTTTAAATTACGATTCCAAAGCGGGCTGGCCACAGGCAAGAAGCCAGGAGCCTGTTTACACAAATGCTCCCTGCTCAGGGAAGGCTGCCCAAGTCACTCCTTCCTGCTGTCCCCAGACCCGGGCTACTAAGGTCTAGGGGTCCGGAAGGCAGGGTTAGTCCCAGGCTACCACAGTGACGCTCCAGGGGGCTCTGCTGAAGGACAAGGACCTCCTCCTCCTGCATCTCAGCCTCCCCAGCAGCCACAGCCTAGAGCCCTGCCAAGCTGATGGGACCCACTCCATCAACAAGCAGGTGACAGCTTCTTCAGGTAGGGGGTGGGGCATGGTCGCACAGGAGACCCGCAGGGTTCCCTGGGATCCAGGGAGGACCTTCATTCCCACATTGCCTCCCACAGTCCTGAGCACCTGAGCAACAAGGAGTTAATATTTTTTGATTATGGCAAAATACACATACAGTTTATCATGCTAACCATTTGAAGTGTGTGGTTGAGTGGCATTAAGTGCACACACACAGTTGTGCAGCCGTCAGCACCATCTGTCTGTCTCCAGAACTCTGTCATCTTCACAAACTGAAACTCTGGAGCTAAATCTTTAAATCTGTTTCATTCGACAAGCTTTTTGTTTGTTCGTCTTTTTTTTTTTTTTTTTTTTGACGTCCCTGGGTGGGCTCAAACTCATCCAACAGGCTTTGATTGAAGATCTGTTGTGGCTTCCTGGGGGGAACACAGGCAGGACAGACCTGCTCTGAAGGCACCCAGTGGCATGAAGAGGCAAGCCAAGAAGCTTCCAGCCAAGAAGGCGGCAGCCCACTGGCCACCTCAGGGCACGGGAGGGAGGCCCAGGAAGAGGAAGGGGCCACCAGAGACTTCTTGGACCAGCCCTTGGTTGGTGGGAGGAACTTCTTGGCTCGGGGGATGGGGTGGCTGGGGGGATTCAAAGGGAATGTTTTTCCTGTGGTCAGACTGGACCTCATAAACAGTGCGCAGGGGGCCGGCAGGGCAGGGGGACCCAGGGCTGAGGACATGAGGGGATGGCTCTGTGAAAGTCCCAGCTTTCCAAACCACAGAGGGAGGCAGAAATATGTGAAGCATGTGTGGCTCTGAGGGCCTCTCACCCTCGGTCCATCGACCCCTGGACAGACTTCAGATAAATTACAAGCTGCCCACAAGCACTTTGGTGGGAATCTTGTTTTTCCTCTTTCAGACAAAAAGCAGATTTGCTGACAGATTAGGGAGCAGGGGGCTGGGGTGAGGAGGAGGTCACCCAGGAGCACAAAGCCCATTCGAGAAGCATTAAATCACCAGTTAATGAGGTGCTGCTATGCCTTGGTGCTGGGGAGGAGAGGAGGAGTTCAGGGGAAGCCTCTGGAACTCATGGGAAGGACTGCTAGGCCTGGTTTTTCCCGTGACTCCCAAGGACCGAGACTGAACCGGTGGGGCCTGTGGTTCTCATTTCATTCCCCAGGCATTAATTGCCTATGAGGGGGCGGAATGATTACCACTGCTGTATGTCTGAGGACACTGAGACACACAGCAGTGGCTTCTCCAATGTCATATCCTAGTGAGTGATGGAGTGGGAATCAGGTTGGAGTTTGCAGCCAAGTTACCCTCTCTCCTATGACGCCACTCCCCTGCCTGCTTCCCCACCCCATCACCTGCTGGGTCACCTACCGCTAACCAGCCCTCATATGGCACCTGCTCACAGGTCACGCCTTTGGCTTTTACAAGGGTATACAGTTGGCACAACAGACATGATTGCACTCATTTCACAAAACAGGGTCTGAGGCCTGGAGAGGCTTTGGGTTTGCACCAAATTCATGACAAAAATATATCTAAATATGCAAATGTGTGGTGCAGTATAGAGGAGTGGTTAGGAACAAAAAGGATCAATCAGCCAGCCAGACCTGGGTTTTAGTCCTGACTGCTGTGTGACCCTGGGCAAGCTGCTTAACCCGTCTGTGTCTAGCTCTCCCTGTCTGTACAGCGGTGATAAGCGTATCATCATCTTGGCATTATTGTACGTGATAAGTAAAATTACACAGATTCCAGCTACTACAGAGCCTGGCATGAAGTCAGTGCTCCACAAATATCCATCAACATCATCACCATCATCAGCCGTGGGCTAACAGGTGCGAGATTGTGGAGGCCTGAGGGCAGCAGGGTGCCAGGGCCCAAGGAGTCTGTGGAGGGTTGGACGGCTGTTTCAGAAAAGACAGGGCCCTTGCCATGGGTGGCGAGGGCCTCCCGCTGGCAGATATGCCACACAGAAGGCTCCACCTCCCTAACAAACTGGCAGAGAAATGAAAACTGAGGGCATGATTTTAAGCAAACACTCTCCTGGCTCAGAAATGGTGCAGGTGCATTTCCATGTCGATGGGTTCCAGGCTCAGAGCTTTGCAGTCAGGACAGGTGGCTGGGTTGTTGCTGGTTTTGTGGTGGCCTCTTCCAGTCCTTGATCTGATTGAAGAGAGCTGCTTGCCTGGAAGTCCTCGGCTCCGAAGCTGCTAGGGCTCCATGCTCTGTGGTTTGCAGGTGAAAGGAGGAGGGGCCGGGGCATTAGGGGTACAGAGCAGGCCTTTGTGGCTCCATCTACCACATGGCAGCAGGGAGCCCCTCCCCTTTCCTGGGCGGAGAGGACGGTTGCCTAGTGGTTTCATATCTTCATTTGGCCTCAGCTGTCATGGGACAGCCTATGGGGCTCCCACAGCGGTCATGGCCCCTCCGTCTTTGCCACGTTCTTGGTGGGGCATTGTCTTGGGTGAATTGGGTGACTCATCGTGACTCTTTTTCCATTGCTCTCTCAGTGAGAGATGGGGAGGGGTTGGAGGACACCCAGGAACGGGACAGCCATCCCCTGGCCCACCACACTCAGGCCACCACACTGTGCGGCAGAATCGGCCCCTGAGATTTTGTTTTTCCTTTCGGAACCTGTGTTCCCTCCCTGAGCTCCCTGCCATGCATCCATCACCCTCCGGGCCTGTCAGCGTGTCTCAGTTCAATTCCGATAGTAACCCAGGGATCCCGGGCTTTCCCTGGGAGTCCTGAGCCGGGCGACCAGCCTAGAGGGGCTGATCCCCAGTCCAAACCCCTCCGCCTACTCAGAAAACCGGAGCAAGATGTGTGGTGAGGAGGACCCGGGAACTGAGAAGCCAGTCGGGAGCCAGCTGGTGGGGGGGCCTCTGGGATCTCTGTGGGAGATTAGAGGTTGGACCAGGAGCCAAGTCCCTGACCAGAACGCTGTGGGCACATGGGTGATCCAACCCATGCACCTGGCCCCCCCGATCCCTCATCCAGCCAGGCCTCGGTCCAGGCACAGGCCGTGTGAACATCTTTGGGGTCTCCATGTCCAGGAGCCCCGTGCTCAGGGACCTCGGTCCAGAGCCCCTGCGTTCTCCTCAGAAGCCCAGAGCGCTCCATCTGTTGCCTCCTTCTGGAGTGGGCTACGGTTTCCTCACAGGCAGCCTCCATTCAGGACTCTCCTGGGGGGCTGCTGGCAGCAGGGAGTTACCTGGGCCACCCCCAGGGACCAGAGTTCCCCCTCGAGGGTCCTTTCCTCTCTCCCTCGTGAGTTGGAAGCGTAGGCGTGGGTGGGGAGGCAGTAGGGGGATACTTTTGGGGACGTGGACCCTCTTATGCTCAGGAATCCCACTGCCTGGGCTGAGTATCTCCTTCCAGGACAGGCTTCTCCCTCCCTTCTGTCCCCCAGGGGTGGGGTGTCCCCTCGAGATTCAAGCCCACCCCAACAGGAGGACCCAGTTCTGTCCCCCAGGGGTGGGGTGTCCCCTCGAGATTCAAGCCCACCCCAACAGGAGGACCCAGTGTTCTGGAGAGGGCCCAGGCCTGGAGGAATTCTGCAGGCGGGCGCTTGTGGCTGCACGAGGTGAAGACCCGAGCCAAGGCCGCCGGTTCTGGGTCTGCCGGCCCCACTGCTCCAGGGGCTACAGCTGCAGCAGACACGCCCTATTTCCCTTTCTCCCTGAAAGCCCCTCCATTCCCACAGAGCCCACCTGTTCAAGCTAAACCCCTACCCCGACACTCACCACCACTAATTGTTTTCTCTTTCGCAGGAGAGAGGTCTGCCCTGGGTGCAAACCAACCTTCTAGAAGGAACATCCTTCCCTTAGAAACTCCGAGGCCAAGATTAGCCATGAGGATAAAACCCAGAGATCAGACACAGAGACCTGGGGTCAGGCCTTTGGCCACGTGGCCTGGCAGCCTCACCTTGCTGAGTCACAGAGAGGCAGAGCCCCAAGCGAGCCTGGGGAGCCCTGCACCAGCCTGGGTTCCGGCCCTTCCCTCCCCTCATCGCTTCTCATCACCTCTCCGCACTACTCTCCCCTCTCTGGCCCAGGGGGTCCCTGGGAGTCTGGGAAAGCGCCCTGGATTGTCTGGCTCCTGCCAGGGCTGGGACGCCCATTGCCAAGAGAGCACTCAGAAGCCGCCTGTTGGCTTTGAGGACTTTTATTGCCCAAGGTCCCGAGGTCTGGGTGGGACCGCAAGGGGCTGCCCCTGTCCCCAGAGCTGTGCCTGGCCATCCTGGTGGGAGGGCTCGGCTAGAAGAAGTTGACCACCCTGCGGAGCGACTGCACCCGCGCGCTGTGGGCCTCCCAGTCGGAGAAGCTGCGGAAGTCGCCCCTCTCCACCACGTACATGCGGCCGCGGTAGTTGGGCTCCTCGTACAGGACCCACCTGGAGGCCAGGGGAGTGGGAATCAGGGGCTGCTGGGAAGCCCCCCTGGACTCCAGACAAGAGCTTGCACAGCCTGGCCACCCAGCAACCCCTCCCGGCCGAGCGGCCCCTTCACTCTGGGCTACACGAAGGCACCCACGGTGCCCACCTTGGCTTTTATTTCCTTCCTCAGTGCCGTGTGGGGTCCGTGCAGGGGTGTGACACGTGTGGGGACAGGCCTAGTAACGTCCACATTTTAAAACTGACCAGTCCTGGCCGGGTGTGGTGGCTCATGCCTGTAATCCCAGAACTTTGGGAGGTCGAGGCAGGCAGATTTCTTGTGGTCAGGAGTTCGAGAGCAGCCTGGCCAATGTGGTGAAACCCTGTGTCTACTAAAAATACAAAAATTAGCTGGGTGTGGTGGTGCATGCCTGTAATCCCAGCTACTCAGGAGACTGAGGCAAGAGAATTGCTTGAACCAGGGAGGCGGAGGTTGCAGTGAGCCGAGATCGCGCCACTGCATTTCAACCGTCCTTGGCAAGGATGCACTCCCGCCATCACTGCACGCCCCACGCACTCCTGTTCCCTGATAAGGACCACCTTGCACAGACAGTGCCCCCAGCACCTGATGGGGGGCCTGGCACAGAGGGCACCATTCATTCAGTGAATGCCAGTGGGTTCCCACATGTGTGCCCAACACCGTGTCAGGTACCAGAGGTGCCATGGTCACATGACATGGTTCCTGCCCCCTCCTGCCCTCATGGGGCCCCCCCTGCAGAGGAAATGGGCTGTGGGGGTACAGTTGCACAGAGGAGCCTGCAGGGCACAGAGGAGGGTCAGGGAGTCCCAAGTGGGGCCCCTTCCTCTCCTCTTCCCCTTCTGCACACCTCCGGGGCGGCCACCAACAATCCAGAGAGCAGAAACAGTTAGGACAAGTCTTTACGGAGCCTGGAGGACCTGGGGCTGGTGGGGGCAGGAGAGAACACAGCCCTTCGTCACCCAGGAAGCTGTGGGCCCGGCCCAGAAAAGCAGGAAGGCGCGGTGGGGAGGGAATGGGGGACCAGGAGGAAGGGACTGGAGGTCCAGGGGAGTGGCCTCTGCCTGGGAAGGGGCATGTGATACAAGGAAGACGCCTCAGGACAGCTCGGAGCAGGGGCTGGCCCGACCCTGTCCTTCCCTCACCACCTCTGAGACGAGCGAGGCTTGTCACACTTGGCGCCTGGCACAGTCTGCTGCCTCGAGGGTTGGCGCCAGGAAGGAACAGAGAGTGGCAGAGGGTGTGAGCAAGCCTGGAGCACCTGCTGGGGGACTCAGGGCAGGCTTGGTCCAGCCTGGACCCCACCCTCATGGCCCCCCGCGTCCATGCTCCTCCACACCTAGAGCTTTCTGACCCCACACCTATGCCGTAGCTGGGGCCTCAGAGGCACCTCAGGGAGTCAGCTCGTCCTTTCCTACCCTGTGGTGGGCAAGAAATACCCTAAACCATGTCCTGGGCCACATGAGGGTGCTCACATGGACACCCCCAAAAGGAGGGGGCAGGGAACCGCCCATCCTCCTGTCCCCTGTCCTGGCTGTGGCTACTGGGAGGAGGCAGAAAGGGGAAGGGGCAGGGGCCTGTCCTGCCCACATGAGCACCGTGCCCTTCCCCAGGTGGGGGTGGTTGGGGGCAGAACGCCAGCACATTTTCCTCCGAAAGCCCACCAGGACATGGATCTGAGGGGACGGGTCATGCCTGGGCTGATGTGGGACCCAGAGGGAAGGAGTCTTGGCAGTGGGAGGTGGTGGAGGGGCCCTGCCTCGCCCGCTCTCCAGACCCCAGGAAAGGCCTCCTAGCAGTGTCCCCTCCGGATCCAGGGGGCCCGGGGGCGTTACCTCCTTGACAAGGGCTTACATTTGTGTAAGAGTTAGAGTCTTAGGCGGCAAAGGCTGAGCACCTGGGCCCCCACCTGGGGTACTGACGGCTGGCTCCTCGCAGGGACGGTGGGGATTGAAGGAGACGGACTATGTGCCCCTCAGTCAGAGAAATGTTCATCTCCACCTTCTCCACCTTCCTTCTCAACAAGCCCCTGAGTGCCTGAGTGCTGGGGTGGGCGGGGGGATTGTGTCTCTGGCCTCAGGACATCCTCCATGCAAAGGTGTGACTTGGGCCTTACAAGACACAATTTAGCCAGCAAGTTTTCCAGGGCAAATTCTTGTTTTGGAATGCCACCTCTGGGCTCCAGGTGCCACCAATTTAGGGCAAAATGCAATTTTGTAAAATGGAATCCTGGAGCTAGCTAGAGTGACAGAAACAGCAGATTTCTGCCACTATCAGGCCACCAGGGAAAGGTGGGATGTACACAGTCCCTCCTATCCCTGGGAACTGGTTCCAGGACTTCCCTTAGATGTCAAAATCCAAGGATGCTCAAGTTCCAGATATAAAATGGCATTGTATTTGCATATAACCCACGCGTATCCTCCCATATGTAGTAAGTCCTCGCTTAACCCCATCAGTAGGTATTTGGGAACCGTGGCTTTCAGCACGCGATATATAACAAAGCCATTTCTCCCCCTCATCAATCTTATAATGAACCCACATTGAACAAGACAACATATTCGAGGACCTGCCATACATCATTTCACTTAAAGTCACAGTCTCCAAGAACCTATCCCCGATGTTAAGTGAGGACTTACTGGACTTGAAATCATCTCCAGATTACTTATGATACCGAATCCAACGTAAATGCTATGTAAATAGCTGTACGGTATCTTTCAGGGAATAATGTACATATTCAGCATAGACACAATTGTGGGGGGATAGTTTCACTGTGCGGTTGGAGCCCACAGACATGGGGTGCCACCTGTGCCCAGCTCTGCCTTGGCTCAGTCTCTGTCTCCCTGCAGTCCCTCTGCCCCCTGCATCCTCTCCAGAGCTCCCTGGCCTTGAACCTCTGGAGTATAGAAGGCAAATTGTTCTTCAATGGCTTTGATAGGAGCCAGAGCCATGCACAGCCAGCTGGCACCTGTGTGAGGGGCTCTTGGCCTGAGGGGAGGGAACTGAGGCCTGGGAAAGCGGCCAGCTGTGGAACAGGGACAGACACAGGCTTGGCTGTAGTCTCAGCTGTGCCACTCCCATGGGACGGCTGGGCCGTCAGCCTTCTGAGTCTCAGCTTGCCCTTTGTAGAACGGGGGCAATAATATCTACCTGACGCAGAGGTGTGGGCTGGACAATGAAAATAGATGGCCAACTTGAAGGTGCTCAGAGGGTAGTTGCAAAAGGGGAGTATGCGGGAGGGCAGGAGGGGGCACGAAGGCTGCCCTTGGTTGACCAGGAGGAAACCCAAGTGTGGGGCAGACAAACCCGTCTGGACCTGGGCACAATCCCCCCAGCTACTCTCTGTCTGGAAGTGAGCCACCCTGAAGTCCGTCTTCCCCCAGAGGCCAGGGTGCTGGGGGTTTGCAGAGAGGCCCGGTTCAGGGGTCAGCTTTGCTGGGCAGGCGCTGGGCAGGGTGGGCTGGTCCACCCTTCTCCGAGCAGGTGAGCCCACTGTGGCTTTCCAGCCCATAAGGCCCTGGGGGATCCCTTGGTCAGCAGGTGTCCCGCGGCTCAAGAAAACCAAGGCGGTCTCTTGCATCAGATCAATCGCAGAGAACTGTGCAGCTTTCAAGGCCCTCTCCTACCTCTGTTCCTGAACCGATGCCCTACAGGGAAGGTCTCAGGATGCCTCTGGGGCCCAGGGTCCCTCTCTGAGGCCCTTCTGGGCCATAGGGGAAGCTCCCCGCTGCTTGACTGGGGCAGGTGAGGCAGCTGAGGAAAAGAGAGGGCCTGTGGGGCCAGGGACACGCTGCCCCCTGCTGCAGGTCTCATTCCCACCCCACCCACCAGCCCTGCATGGCGGGCAGCCTCCCACGCCTGGTGCTGAAGGGCCTAGGTGGGCCTCGGGGTGCGGCCACGTGGCTGGCCTGTACTCACGCTCCGTCCCCGTACACCTTGATGGCGTTGATGCAGTTCTTGGCCCAGCCCCCACTCTGCAGGAAGGGGCAGTCCTCCAGGAACTCCAGGCACTGGCCCGTGAAGTTGCAACCCTCGAAGATTTCTAGGCGGAAATGTTCCCCGTGCTCCAAGACCAAGCGAAAAAGAAGGAAAGAAGGAGGCTACTGTGAATTCCCCTCTCCCAGAAACAGAAGCCCCGGGCAGGAAGGAATTAGGAGGCACCCAGGGCACTGGGCACCCCCACCCCACATACTTCAACCCCGCACTTCTGTTTGTTCTTCCACACGAGATGTGGTTGGAAGAAAGGGTTCTATTACTCTAAAACTGTTTCAAGCCACTGAGCTGGTCTAAGCACCTCTTTCTACAACTAGAAAATCTGAGGTCCAAAGACAGCCAAACTGACCAGAGGCCAGCGCTCAGGCTCAGACCAGGGCTGGGGTCTCGGGGCTCCCTCTGGGTGCTCAGCCTGGGGAACTTCTGCCCTGGTCACACCAACACACTCCCGTTTCTGACTTCACTCCGGGGCCGCAGCCCACAGGCAAGCCTTCAAATGATAACGTTTTAAAACTGTAATAGAACCTTTTAGTAAAACATAAAGCCAAAAATCTAAAACAAATACCGGATCTCGTGTGCTGAAACTCCTGCTGGCCTTGACATCATCGTCCCCTAGGCTCAGCACGTCTCCCTATATGATTCCCGCATTTCCAAAAGACAGAGGAGGGCCAGCCCCTGCCTGGCTCAGAAGCCGGCAGGGCCTGGTCTGCGTCACAGCTGGCCCCAGGATAGCTCTTAGGAGAACAGCAGTTCTCAAGATACCAAGGATATTTTTCATATAAATAGCATTATGCAGGGTCCAGGGCCAACCATTTAAATTTCTTTTTTGCCAATTGTACCACAGCCTGGAAGAAATACTAAGAAAGCATTCTTACAATTTGAGATGCCAAAGCCCAGCTGATTTTGCAACTGATACAGAAAAGAGAGGGGGCCCCACACAGAGGCCCCTTCCCTGGGGTTCGTCAGACGTTCACCAGAACCGCCCGGCCCAGGCATCAGGGGAGGGTCCTCGGCAGACATAGGCCCAGACTCTCTGTGGTGAGACATGCATGCCCCCAGGCTCAGGAATCCTCCCCTTCCCACCTGAAGCTCCCAGAGCTCACAGCAGGTCAGCGAGTACTCATGACCTGGGGGAACGGCCTTGCTTAAATCCCACCCTAGGAGCAGCTGGACAGAAACAGTCCTTCGCCATGGGGGAGCCATGCCCCTCGTCTGCCCTCCCTGCATACACCTCTTGGGTGGCAGCTACCTGTGTAATTCCAAGGGATCTGTCCCCCAATTTTCCCCTGACTGGCGGGTGATTCTTCAGCTTCCTCCATCAGCCACTCCAAGACCTCAGCATGGAAGGCTCCAGAATGTGCTACAAGACCACTTGCACCAGTGTCCGCACTAGGCCCAAATCAGCCTCCCATTGGCTGAGTGTCCCTTATCTGGCTGGAAATCTAAATTTGGACGATTTCAACAGCATTTTAAATGGACAATGCAGCTAG